TGAAGGAACAATGTCTGAATAAACAACCACAGTAAATAATATTTTTTACATATCCTTATAAAAAAGCCCAAAGAAATCCAGAACATCAAAAAATCCAAAGGAATCCAAAGCATAAAAACGTTCAAAGGAATCTAAAATATAAAAAAGCTCTAAATGTAACAAATAATACTCGATGAACGTGACAATTAGATTTTTTTTAGTTCGTTAATGTCACTAGCTAATGAAGGAACAATGTCTGAATAAACAACCACAGTAAATAATATTTTTTACATATCCTTATAAAAAAGCCCAAAGAAATCCAGAACATCAAAAAATCCAAAGGAATCCAAAGCATAAAAACGTTCAAAGGAATCTAAAATATAAAAAGCTCTAAATGTAACAAATAATACTCGATGAACGTGACAATTAGATTTTTTTTTTTTTAGTTCGTTAATGTCACTAGCTAATGAAGGAACAATGTCTGAATAAACAACCACAGTAAATAATATTTTTACATATCCTTATAAAAAGCCCAAAGAAATCCAGAACATCAAAAAATCCAAAGGAATCAAAGCATAAAAACGTTCAAAAGGAATCTAATATAAAAAAGCTCTAAATGTAACAAATAATACTCGATGAACGTGACAATTAGATTTTTTTTTTTTTTTTTTTTAGTTCGTTAATGTCACTAGCTAATGAAGGAACAATGTCTGAATAAACAACCACAGTAAATAATATTTTTACATATCCTTATAAAAAAGCCCAAAGAAATCAGAACATCAAAAAATCCAAAAGGAATCCAAAGCATGAAAACGTTCAAAGGAATCTAATATAAAAAAGCTCTAAATGTAACAAATAATACTCGATGAACGTGACAATTAGATTTTTTTTTTTTAGTTCGTTAATGTCACTAGCTAATGAAGGAACAATGTCTGAATAAACAACCACAGTAAATAATATTTTTACATATCCTTATAAAAAAGCCCAAAGAAATCCAGAACATAAAAAAATCCAAAGCATAAAAACGTTCAAAGGAATCTAATATAAAAAGCTCTAAATGTAACAAATAATACTCGATGAACGTGACAATTAGATTTTTTTTTTTTTTTAGTTCGTTAATGTCACTAGCTAATGAAGGAACAATGTCTGAATAAACAACCACAGTAAATAATATTTTTTACATATCCTTATAAAAAAGCCCAAAGAAATCCAGAACATCAAAAAATCCAAAGGAATCCAAAGCATAAAAACGTTCAAAGGAATCTAATATAAAAAGCTCTAAATGTAACAAATAATACTCGATGAACGTGACAATTAGATTTTTTTTTTAGTTCGTTAATGTCACTAGCTAATGAAGGAACAATGTCTGAATAAACAACCACAGTAAATAATATTTTTTTACATATCCTTATAAAAAAGCCCAAAGAAATCCAGAACATCAAAAAATCCAAAGGAATCCAAAGCATAAAAACGTTCAAAGGAATCTAATATAAAAAAGCTCTAAATGTAACAAATAATACTCGATGAACGTGACAATTAGATTTTTTTTTTTAGTTCGTTAATGTCACTAGCTAATGAAGGAACAATGTCTGAATAAACAACCACAGTAAATAATATTTTTTACATATCATATAAAAAAGCCCAAAGAAATCAGAACATCAAAAAAATCCAAAGGAATCAAAGCATAAAAACTTTCAAAGGAATCTAATATAAAAAGCTCTAAATGTAACAAATAATACTCGATGAACGTGACAATTAGATTTTTTTTTTTTTAGTTCGTTAATGTCACTAGCTAATGAAGGAACAATGTCTGAATAAACAACCACAGTAAATAATATTTTTTACATATCCTTATAAAAAAGCCCAAAGAAATCCAGAACATCAAAAAATCCAAAGGAATCCAAAGCATAAAAACGTTCAAAGGAATCTAATATAAAAAAGCTCTAAATGTAACAAATAATACTCGATGAACGTGACAATTAGATTTTTTTTTTTTTTAGTTAGTTAATGTCACTAGCTAATGAAGGAACAATGTCTGAATAAACAACCACAGTAAATAATATTTTTACATATCCTTATAAAAGCCCAAAGAAATCAGAACATCAAAAAATCCAAAGGAATCAAAGCATAAAAACGTTCAAAGGAATCTAATATAAAAAGCTCTAAATGTAACAAATGATGCTCGATGAACATGACAATTTGATTTTTTTTTTTTAGTTCGTTAATGTCACTAGCTAATGAAGGAACAATGTCTGAATAAACAACCACAGTAAATAATATTTTTTACATATCCTTATAAAAAAGCCCAAAGAAATCCAGAACATCAAAAAATCCAAAGGAATCCAAAGCATAAAAACTTTCAAAGGAATCTAATATAAAAAGCTCTAAATGTAACAAATAATACTCGATGAACGTGACAATTAGATTTTTTTTTTAGTTCGTTAATGTCACTAGCTAATGAAGGAACAATGTCTGAATAAACAACCACAGTAAATAATATTTTTACATATCCTTATAAAAAAGCCCAAAGAAATCCAGAACATCAAAAAATCCAAAGGAATCCAAAGCATAAAAACGTTCAAAGGAATCTAATATAAAAAAGCTCTAAATGTAACAAATAATACTCGATGAACGTGACAATTAGATTTTTTTTTTTTTGTTCGTTAATGTCACTAACTAATGAAGGAACAATGTCTGAATAAACAACCACAGTAAATAATATTTTTTACATATCCTTATAAAAAAGCCCAAGAAATCAGAACATCAAAAAAATCCAAAAGGAATCCAAAGCATAAAAACTTTCAAAGGAATCTAATATAAAAAGCTCTAAATGTAACAAATAATACTCGATGAACGTGACAATTAGATTTTTTTTTAGTTCGTTAATGTCACTAGCTAATGAAGGAACAATGTCTGAATAAACAACCACAGTAAATAATATTTTTACATATCCTTATAAAAAGCCCAAAGAAATCCAGAACATCAAAAAATCCAAAGGAATCAAAGCATAAAAACGTTCAAAGGAATCTAATATAAAAAGCTCTAAATGTAACAAATAATACTCGATGAACGTGACAATTAGATTTTTTTTTTTTTAGTTAGTTAATGTCACTAGCTAATGAAGGAACAATGTCTGAATAAACAACCACAGTAAATAATATTTTTTACATATCCTTATAAAAAAGCCCAAAAGAAATCAGAACATAAAAAAATCCAAAGGAATCATAAAAACGTTCAAAGGAATCTAAAATATAAAAAAGCTCTAAATGTAACAAATAATACTCGATGAACGTGACAATTAGATTTTTTTTTAGTTCGTTAATGTCACTAGCTAATGAAGGAACAATGTCTGAATAAACAACCACAGTAAATAATATTTTTTACATATCCTTATAAAAAAGCCCAAAAGAAATCCAGAACATAAAAAAATCCAAAGCATAAAAACGTTCAAAGGAATCTAAAATATAAAAAAGCTCTAAATGTAACAAATAATACTCGATGAACGTGACAATTAGATTTTTTTTTTTTTTTAGTTCGTTAATGTCACTAGCTAATGAAGGAACAATGTCTGAATAAACAACCACAGTAAATAATATTTTTACATATCCTTATAAAAAAGCCCAAAGAAATCCAGAACATAAAAAAATCCAAAGGAATCCAAAGCATAAAAACGTTCAAAGGAATCTAAAATATAAAAAAGCTCTAAATGTAACAAATAATACTCGATGAACGTGACAATTAGATTTTTTTTTTAGTTCGTTAATGTCACTAGCTAATGAAGGAACAATCTCTGAATAAACAACCACAGTAAATAATATTTTTACATATCCTTATAAAAAGCCCAAAGAAATCCAGAACATCAAAAAATCCAAAGGAATCCAAAGCATAAAAACGTTCAAAGGAATCTAATATAAAAAGCTCTAAATGTAACAAATAATACTCAATGAACGTGACAATTAGATTTTTTTCAGTTCGCCAAATGTCACCAGTTAACGATTATGAATAATATCTGAACAAAACAACCACAGTAAATAATATTTTTCACATAACCTTATAAAAAAAAATCCAAAGACATACAAAGTTTAAAAAAGTCTAATAAGATTTAAGTACTACTTGCAACTAATGACGCTTGATGACCGCGATAATTGTTTTTATTTAATTCATCAGTGTCACGAGTTACAGATTAAGCATTACAACAACAAACAAACTTTTTCACATATTTCCATACTAAAACATTCAAAGCTACAAAAGGTCAGTTGTCGTTTCCAAAGTTAATGATGCACTCATTTAATACTGCAAATAGATTTTTAAGTTACTTTTTAAAGGCGTAAAGATTTTTTGGAAATGAAATAATCTGGTATTTCGTTACGAAATTTCCCAAAAACTTCGTGTCCACCCTATACTTAGAATTTTAAAATGATTTTCAAGACATGAATTAGTTTTTATAAGACCGAAAACTTTTTAAAATGTTTCGAATAGTTAATTGTGCGTGCAATTAATATCTTAAAACATTTTTCATTTATGAATCAGACAAATAGATTTTGTGAAAGTTATACGAATAAATCTTATTTTAAAAATCAGCAATTTTTCAAATATCCCTTTGTTATACCACCCACATTGCAATCTGGGAGGAAAAAATGTTTAATATAACATTTGCTCAATTGAAGGATTTTTGGTTTAAAAAAATGCCTAAAATATTCAAATACGAGATAAAACGAAAAATAGTTTTTGTTGTTTGTTGTTGCTTATCCCACTTGGCTGGCCAAGCCCACGAGCCCATACGTACTCATGATTGAAGGGGAAGGAAGCAACTTCTGTTGTGATGGAGCACCCGTAGATAGAAGTCTGACTTTGGCTCCGTGACGCTCTTACAGTCATAGAAGACCGGGACCTACGGCTTAAAGGGATTCCGAACCCCTACAAACATCCATGGCACCGCCGGGATTCGAACCCGAAACCTGAGACACCGAGCGCCAGAGCGCTAGACACTGGGCCATTCAGGTCCCAAATTTGTGAATGCCAACGGCACGCGGTGTTTCCAGGTGGTCACCCACCCAAGTACTGGGTACCGCGCCCGATGATGCTTGACTTCGGTGATCTAACGAGAACAGGTATATTCAGCATGGTATGGCCGTTGGCATACGAAAAATAGTGTAACGTTATATACTGTAGAAAAAAAAATCTAAAGCTTTATTTTTAGTGCAAAGAAACATAAAATTTGAAAAAGCCTTGATAAAAAAAAAAATTTACATACTTGTGGTATTGTTAGTTTAATTAACTCTATTGTCAAGAGTAATTAAATAATGAAAGTTTTATTTTTAATAATTTTAGATGAATAATTATTTTTTTAAAACTCTTAAAATTAAAAACTGAAATATAACCTTTTATTTGAAAATTAAAAAATTATTTACTCACTTTTTGCCTTTCTCAGTGGAGGTATGGCCCGATTTTTACGCCGGTTTATATTTGCCTCTCTTTCTTCAAGCCACGCTCTCTCCAGCTCAAAACCTTTCTCTACCCACGCTATCTGCTCCGTCACTTTGCGCTCCCAGAATTCTTCCAGCTATGTAGAAACAAGTATAAGTCAATTCCTACTTTCTTTTCACTATATTACAGAAAGTCCTTTATAAATAAAGTTTAAATTCTCCTCTTACATCTGGCGCCATCTATTGGTAGATAACTTTTTATTTACGAGTAAATGCAAATTAAATCTAAAATAAAAAAAATGCAACTTAATCTAAAAAAAGCTAAACAAAAAAACTAAAAAGCTAAAAAAAAAATTGTTTAAGTCAATTCCTAATTTTTTTCACTATATTGCAGAAAGTCCTTAATAAATCATTTTCATTCATTTTTTTAAATTTATCTGGCGCCATCTATTGGTAGATACATGCAACTTAAATCTAAAAAAAACTAGAATTAATTAATTAAATTAAATTAATGAATTAATATTTGAAAAAACTGTATTAACATAAAGTGTCACTCACTACAAGTTCAAAAAAATGTATTTGAACTTGAGTGGATGAATAAAAAGTATTTTATTAACTATTGGAAATTTGAACAAGATATATATATAGGGAGAGTGGGAACTAATAATAGGAATTGAAAAAAGGGGATATGTTTAATTACATAACATCTGAATCTGTTAAAAATGTATTGTATCAATGTCAAAGGCCATCAAATCAAATGCCCCTGCAATAAAAAGTAATTATAGTCATAAATGATTTGTTATATTTTCTGATATTTGTTCCAATTCAAATGAAAAGTCGGTTAAAAATTCAGATTACTAGTTCTTTGATAACCTTTATATTAATTAGTTGTAACCTCCAACGTTACTAGCAAAATTATTTGCAAAGCGGAATTTAAGCATTACATTTTTTACTGTTTTTGATAATTCTTTTGTTTTTAATAATCATAAAAAATCCGATTTGTGCCTAACTATGTGTTCATCAGGAGTAAATCGCCACTGATGGCCATTCGTTACAATTTCATTAAAATTTAGTAGACTCGGTTATGATCGTAATATATTATCTTATACATAACTTCGGTCATATTATATTTTGAACTTTCTCTCCTGTGACTCGTAAATATAAAGCAGTGACTCATAAAAGTTCTCCAAGAAGGTATTACTCTCCCTATAACAGGTATAACAAACTCAATATACAATATCTTTCTACAACAGATATAATAAACTCAGTATACAATATACAATATCACTCTATAACAGAACTAACGCCGATGTGTGTTATATGAATTGCGTGATATGCGATAAATAAAAAATAAGCATGAAAAAGCACTGGATTGAATCAATACTTTTTTACGAAAAAAAATTTGAATTATTTTCTAAAATCACTTTAAGTAAATCACTTCAAAAAAGTTTATTTTTTCTCTTTTTCATAAAAAATGTTCAAATATAAATGCTCATTTCAAATAAAAGAGTCTTTGCTGAGAAAAGCTTCCTAATACCCTGTATAGAGAATTCTATTACCAACTTATTGAGCATGAAGGAAGATGATATTTAATTGTCAACAAAATGCTCAGAAGCAAGCCACGTGAATCCTTCATATGAAGGAAAACATGAATTTCATTTGATGAAAAGTCAAAGTTGTAAAGTAATTGATTGTGGTTAAACAATTTGCATCTAAAACATTGAATCATCTGGACAACATGAGCAGTTGTACCACCAGTGCTGTCATGAAGTGAAAATTCTTGCCAAAAAAATTTCCTAATATCATTTATTGATCTACATGCGAAAAGGTTTAATTATTTGTGTGAAGTTTTACTTCTTGAAAAATAATTTTAAGATTTATAAGTTTTTCAATGTACAGCTTCGCCTGTTTCTGTGTTTATTTAAATTGCTGTTAAGTGAACCGAAAATTCATTGTTGGTAAACATAAATTATACAATTGCTAATAGAATCCAAAATTTTTATACATTATCTAATTATTTTAAATTGTCATCCTTTAAATATCGAATGTTGAAACAAGTAGTAATTTAAACAATCTTAATTTTACTTACATTTTAATCCATATTTGTTTCTATATTCCAATTTTTGGGATTTATCAATAACAATAACAATAAAACCTTAATTGCTAATAGATTTTTATTTATGTATTTTAATATGAAACAACCGAATAACTGCAAGTGGTTAGCGGTAGATCAGCGAGTTCCACTTCTCTCTCATATTTTGTCTTTAAACATTTAATTTTATTGACTCATAGAGCTTTAAGCTATTCACTTTTGGTTTCAAATATACGTAATGCTATTCTTGTATTGATAAATCCATCTCGTGAGTCATTACAATACACTGCAACTGATGTTTCACCAAACAATTTGACGTAGCGCTCTACTACTTGCAAATGGCAAGCAATAAAATATCAGCTTTCACAGGAACGTTTAAAATCATCGCCTGAATTTCATTATCAGATATCACAAGTGGTGATTCAGAAAATGTAACTGAATGCCAGTTAATTAAATCTATTTAGGTGATCCTTTTGTAATTTAACATAGCAGTCTTAAATTCAGTAACATTTTAATCTACTTTATATATTTGTCTACATTTTAAAAGTCTTCAAAGCCCTACTTTATCGCATGTTTTCAATTGTTGGTCAACATTGCCAATAGAATATTTTCTGGATGACCAAAATAGACCGACCAATGTTTCTTAGTAATGTTCGTTCTATTATTCTCATTAATTTTTCAAGTATGTATCGAGATTTGTTTATTACATTATAAAAGTGTTAACTCATATGATGGAGAGACTACTAAGTTTTACTATCAAGCTATTCACATACGTATACCCTAATAGCAAACTCGGCTAAAACTTTCAAGTTCCCCTATGGGTCTTTTGTTGAAATATATATTCTCAGAATTATATTTCCAGTCATTAACCACCTGAAGTGACTCAGCTTTCCTTTACCCTTTCATTAAAGTTTTAATATTTCTGTTTAAAATTCCAGTGCATGTTTCGTTGAGATATCGTGGATCTGTTCAAAGTTCGTCAATGGCAACATCATGCAAAGTTATTCGTAACTTTTCATAGCTTGTTGCAGGCATGTTTTTATAAGATTCTATCTTTTATTGCAATTTCTCCACTCCTTTTGGTCCAATACTTTTTCCGTCAAATGTATTTATACAACTATACACTCAGTTCCATAAATTACATACAATTCTTGATGAGTTTTTGCAAAATTATGCTTTTGAGTGGAAACACAAAAAAATCTCACTTCGCAATTATCCTGAAACTGCACAAACAATTTTACTGCTAGGATTTTTTTTTTAATTTATAGAGAAACATTCTTTTTCTTCTACTTTATTTGTGTAACAGCCCCATGGTGGGCCAAGACCGATGCCTACTGGCAGATTTCGAGACAGGAGATGTTTTGTTTCTTTTTACGCGGTAGAGTTGTCAGCTCTACGCCCAACCTTCTAAAGTCATATTAGACTAGGGCTTGAATGACCGAGTGTCTAGCGCTCTGGAGTTCAGTGTCATAGGTATCGGGTTCAATACCCGACGGTTTCATGAATGTTTGTAGTGGTTCGTAATCCACTTTAAGAAAATATGTAGGCATATAAACGATTTAGCATTAGTCAGAATGTAACACAATTTGTAGAAAAGAACCACAGGAATATAAAAGGAATTTAAAACTTTGTATCCTTCTGAGGGGCTTAACCCATAGATGAAAGGAATTTCCAACATAGGGATTTATAACCGCTATCCTAACTTAAATATGCTTAGGCTTCACTTGCAAGGATTTGAACACAGCTCCCTAGTTTTAATAACAGTCTCACAGCTAGGCTAAATAAATTTATTATTGTTAATTAAATGAAATTAATGAATTGTACTAAAATATATGCACATAATTCAAAAATGTTTTAAAAATATGCATTAATTGTGGTTGACTTAAAAACTTTTTTCCAATCTAAAACGATTAACCTTCAAATCAGAAGAAAATATTTTAAAAAATACTTATCAAATTAAAAACTATAAATTTAAATTAGCTTTTAATGGTTCATGGATTATTTTTTCTAATTACTATCAGAATCAAAAGATTGATTTACTACAAAGTGAACGACTAATCTCGAAGTAATTCTGATCTCATTTGAATTATCATTAAAAAAATGTATCGACTCCTTTTCAACGACCACATTAATGCTGGTTAAATAATTAATTGAATTTAAAACTTTTTATGTATTAAATATTTCTAACTATTTCTTACTTTCTTTTTCCTCTCCTTTTTTTCCAACTCTCTTTCTCGACAAATATCATTCATATGCATCATGTCGCGTCTAGCCAGTTCTATCTCCTTTTGCTTGTTCTTTTCATCTCTCTGAAAAAATTTTTAGAAGTATAATGGGGAAATTAAATAAAAAATAATAACTAAATACTACTGTGCCCAAAAAGTTAGACCAATTTTTATTTTTTTCAAAAACTCTTTATTTATTCTTCCAAATTTATTTCATCGCCTTCAAAGTAATCCCCTTCGGACACAATGCACTTATGCCAACTTTTTTTCCAATCCTCAATGCATTCTAAAAAGTCATCGGCAGGGATGGCCTTCAAAGCGCGCGGCGATTCACGTTGAATCTCTTCAATCGACTCAAAACGGTGTGCTCGGAATGGTCTTTTGAGTTATAA